TGGATGTGGAGAGTGAGGGGAAATAAGGAATAAAAAATGACTCCTAGGTTTCTGGCCTGAGAAGCTGAGTGGTTATTGAGATGGAGATTTCTCCCAGAGTAGAAACTGGGTAGCAGTGAAGTTTTCTGAATCAAGTTTTGGTTCGTCCATGTTAATTCTGAGATCCTTCTGAATATTTATCAGGTAGTAGTTCAATATATGAATTTGAAGATCTGTGGAGTGGACAAGGCTGGAGATCAAACTTGGCAGTTTTATTAGTTATCTACTGTATTGCTGCATAACAAATTACCTCTAAACCTAGCAGCCTAAAACAACAAACATTTATTATGTCACAGGTTTTTTGGTCAGGCGTTTGAGAGCATCTTAGCTGGGTAGTTTGGGTTCTGGATCTCTGATAAAGCTGCAGTCACAATGTCAACTGGGACTGCAGTCACCTGAAAGCTTGACTGGGGCTGGAGGATCCACTTCCAAGATGGCTCACCCTCATGGCTGTGGCAGGAGGCCTGAGTTCCTTGCTGGCTATCGGCAAGAGGCCTCAGTTTCTCACCCCATGCCACTCCATAGGCTGCTTGAATGTCCTCAGGACATGGCAGCTAGCTTCTCCTAGAGCAAGTGATCCAAAAGAGAGAAAGAGGCAGAGACCACACTATGACTTGGAAGCAACAGACCATCACTTCTGCCATCTTCTTTTGATCACACAGACCAACTCTGATATGATATGGGAGGGGTTACACAAAGATGTGAATCTCAGGAAATTCTATCAGCATATAGATAGTATAAAAAGCCATGCCACTGGATGCGATAATTTGGTGGGGGGAGAATATAGATAGAGTACCCTGGGACACTCCAACATTTAAAGATCAGCCAGATAAGAAGGAGCCAGCAGAGAAGGCTAAGAAGAAGTGGCCAGTGAGGTAGAAGGCAAACCAAGAGCCTGTAGCTAGGGGAGTGTCGACTTGAACAACCAAGTCAAAGCTTACCCAGAGTAAGAAGAAAACTGCAGAGTAGTTTGGATGTAACAACACAGAAGTAATTGGTGAGCATGCCAAGAGCAGTTTCCATGGAGTGTTAAACCTGATTTGAGTAAGTTGAGAGTAAATACAGTGAAAGAATCTGGTGACATTGAACATAAAATATTCTTCTGATAAATTTTGTGTGGAAGGGAACTTAGGATCAAGGGAGAATATTTTTCATGATAGGAGATCCTAGGACATATTTGAAGGCTACATAGCAATGCTCCAATAGCAGGGCAATAACTGGCAATGCCAGAGAAAGAAGGGTCACTGTGAGAGAAACTCCTTGAGAAGGCATGAGGAGATGAGCTTCTGAGCCTGTGTGGAGTGGCTAGACTCTGATGGGAGTCAGGGCAATTCATCCAGAGTAATAGGAAGGCAGGCAGAGAATGTGGAAGCAGCTGCGAGTGGGTTGACAGAGTTTGTGGTGGAAGGAAGATGAAGATGTTCCCATCTTAGAGGTTCTATTTTCTTTTCTTTTTTTTGGCTTTAAATGACCGAAATTGATTCTGTCACAGATCTGGAGGCCAGAAGTCTGAAATCAAGGTGCTGGCAGAGTTGGTTCCTACTGACAATTCTGAAGGGAGTATCTGTTCCATGCCTCTCTCTTAGCTCCTGGTAGCTGCTAGCAATCCTTGGCATTCCTTGGCTTGTAGATTCATCACTCCAATCTCTGCTTCTCCCATTTTCTTAATGAAATACAAGGTAAGGTTTCACAGTAACAGAATGACCATTAGAGTTTTAGATTCCATTGTGATATCATAAGAGAGTTTTGGCATTTTGAAGCTTTTGCCAATCTTTTTCTTTTTTTTCCAAGTTTGCCATTTTAGCTTCTCTGAGGACACTTTCTGCCTATCTGTTATGGACTGAGTGTATGTGTCCACCCCACATTCATATATTGAAGCCGTAATCCCCAATGTGTCTGTATCTAGAGTAAGGAAGTAATTAAGGTTAAATGAGGTCATAAGGGTGAGGGCCTTATCTGATAGGATTAGTGTCCTTATAAGAAGAACCACCAAAGAGCTCTCTGTCTCTGTGTGTGTGTGCACACTGAGGAAGGTTGTGTAAGGACACAGAAGTTGGCTGTCTGCAATCCAGGAAGAGAGTTCCCACCAGAAGCCAAATCAGCTGCAGCCTTGATCTTGGACTTTGAGCCTCCAGAACGAGAGAAAATAGAGAGAATAAATTTCTGCTATTTAAGCCGCCTAGGTCTGTGGTATTTCGTTATGGCAGCCTGAACAGACTAAGATCAATCATATTTGAAAATTGATATAATTAGTAATACTGAAAAAAACCCCACAAAATCAATAAAAATTAAGGCATACACAAGAGCAATTCACACGCATTTAACGATATGTGCCACATTGATACTGAGACATCATTATGCAATCAAATTATTCTTTTCAGCATACATTGATTTAGTGTTAAATGTGCACGGGAGTTTTGTCACTGGAACATATGTTTCTTCAGGGAAGGTGGGCAGAGCAAAATGGCGGGGTGAGCTGACCCGGGATTCTCTCCCCTCCAAAATACAACAAAAGATTGGAAGAACTGAATTTCAGAGAATAAACATAATGCCAGCTCGTTAGAGACCTACAATACCAAGAAGGCGGAGATCATAACCTTGCTTACACCCTCGGAGGCGCTGGAACGGTAGGAGAGAACGTCGCTCCCTCCCCTAGAGTCTGCGATCGCTGCGCGACCGGGGGATCATCCAGGACTCCTGCCGCTGATTCAGTGGAGACCTGCTGATGGGGGGCGGGAGGGGGGGGAAGCTTCCGTCTGCGGGGACCCTATAAATCAAGGGCCTTGGGAGACCAGAGAACAGAACTGATCTGAACCCAGACCTGCTCGTGTGAGTAACAGCTCCTCCCCCCAGCAAAGCCAGTGGGTGCAGCCATCTTGCCCCGAAGGCGGAGAGCTCATAACACGCCACTCTCGACCCCCATCTAGTGGCGACAGGCTGTAACTGCAACTGAATTCTACCACCGTGAGAAAAAACCGCTCCTCTACCATCCAGCAATTTATAAAAGCCCCAGACCAGAAGGAAAACAATAAAAACACATAATTAAGTCCTGAGGACTTGGAATTAGGTCAACTAAGTGATAATGAATTCAGAGAAGCTATAATCAAAAAACTCAATGAGGTAGAGAGAAAGATAGAGAAACAAGCCGAGTTCTGGAGTTACTTCACAAAAGAGATTGAAATCATAAAGAAGAATCAAACAGAATTACTTGAGATGAAAAACACAATGGACCAGATAAAACAGAATACGGATTCCCTGAATGCCTGTGTAGACAACATAGAGGAGCAAATCAGCATAATCGAGGACAGACAGGCTGAATGGCGCCAGACAGAGGAAGAAAGAGAACTAAGAATTAAAAAAAATGAGGAAAATCTCCGAGAGATAATGGATTCAATGAGGAGTAAGAACATAAGGATCATAGGAATTCCCGAGAATATGGAAAAGGGAAATGGAGCAGAAAGTGTGCTTAACGAAATTATTGAAGAGAACTTCCCAAATCTAGGGATCAACGGAGAAATGTGTGTAGAGGAGGGTTTTAGATCTCCTAGATTTGTCAACGTAAAAAGACCCACCGCAAGGCACATAATAGTAAAGTTGGCAAATAGGAATGATAAGGAAAGAATACTCAGGGAAGTAAGAAAAAAAGTGAGAATAACCTATAAAGGAGCCCCTATCAGACTGTCAGCAGATTTCTCTACAGAAACCCTACAAGCTAGGAGAGAATGGAGTGATATATTCAAAGCTTTAAAGGATAAAAACCTTCAGCCAAGAATACTCTATCCAGCAAGAATTTCCTTCAGATATGAGGGAGAAATTAAATCTTTTCCAGACAAACTAAAGTTAAGGGAATTTGTAACTAAAAGCCCTCCATTACAAGAAATCCTCGAGAAGGCTCTCATACTTGAAAAAAGGAAAAAGGGAGAAAGGGGACATATGTTTCTTCAGGCCATCTTGCTGCCTTGGTGGCAATTTTGCACAGTTTTGTTTGGAACCACCAGAGTTTCCAGGACAAGAGTCATCAGCTATGCTAAGATATGAGCTGATACACTGGGATGTGGGTTCACAAAAAGACATAACCACTGTTTATGGTACTGGTACAGATTTGTACCCTACAAACAAAGGAATTGTAATAAATCCTATTTTATGCAAATCTCACAAAAAAGCAAACGTGGGGGCTGGCCCCGTGGCTGAGTGGTTGGGTTCTCGTGCTCTGCTTCGGCAGCCTGGGGTTTGTTGTCAAGGCCCATTATCAGAAGGTTGCTTTGGTAAGCATGAAATCAGAGCAAAAGATAGTACTTTACAAATCGGGTAATTGTACTAACAATTGTATCCAGGCCAGATTACTGGGCCCATAAGCCTCTTCTCACATCTTTATGTGTCCGCAATGCCAAGAGGGAGCCCGGGTCCTGGGTGGGGGCTCAGGACCAGGGAAAGGCAGGTGGAGGCCGAGGGTCCGCCCTGCGAGGCAGAGGCCACTAAGGATGGTAGCGGGCTCGCCTGGGCTCACCGGGTGTCCCACAGGCATAAGCGAGGGACAGTGTCTCAGGCCGGCCTCCTCGAAGAGAGAGAGACGTCGGCCACCTCCCGCAGGCCTGCTCGGGCCTGCGGCCCCGACCGGCCGCCCTGGGCGGGACGACCCCGGAAGGGAGGGCGGGGAGAAGGCAGAGACCGCGCGGCCGAGCGGGGCTGGCGCCGAGCCGGCGACCTCGGCCCTTCAGGGCCGGCGCGGGAGGCTCGGCTCCCTCCCCCCGAGACCCCCACCCCGGGCCCTCGGCTGGCCCGCCGCCGCCGCCGCCGCCGCCGTCCTCGGGCGGGCACGGCGCCTGCTGCGGAACACAAGACTCCCCGGCCCTCCCGGGCCGGGCGCGCGCCTTCAACCAAAATGGCGCGGGAGGCCTCGGCCGGGGCACGTGACCGCAGCCCCGCCCCGGGCCCGCCCTCGGCGCCGCCCGGAGCCCGGCGGCTGGCGGCTGGCGGCTGGCGGCTGGCGGCGAGCGGCGCGGGAATCATGGCCCGGGGGCCGGCGGGCGCCGCGGCCGTGCTCGGCCCGCTGCTCTGGGGCTGCGCGCTGGCGCTGCAGGGCGGGATGCTGTACCCGCGGGAGAGCCCGTCGCGGGAGCGCAAGGAGCTGGACGGCCTCTGGAGCTTCCGCGCCGACTTCTCCGACAACCGGCGCCAGGGCTTCGAGCAGCAGTGGTACCGCACGCCGCTGCGGGAGGTGCGGGCTCCGTGGGGACCGGGCACGGGGCCTGGGCAGGGAAGCGCCTAGAAGCCAGGTCGGGGGCGTGGGGAGCTACTCCTGTGCCCTCGGAGCTGCCGGCGAGGAGTAGGTTAAAGGGGAACGGGCTTGGAGGCCGCGGCCGGCCGACTGAGAAGGAGGAAACGGGCGGAGGGCCAGCGCCTGGCTTCTGTGGGGCCGGGGCGGGGGGCGCCAAGTCCCCCGCTGGGGCCCCGTGCGGCGGGGGAGGCTGAGCTAGAGCAGTGTTCGCGGCACCGAGCGGCCAGGCAGCAACAGGAGGAGAGATTTTTGACATCGTTGGGCCAGCTCTGCCCTGGCACGAAGGACCTTGGGTTCCAAGGTTCAGGTAGAGGATGGGGCTTGGCACCCAGCCAGTCAGGGACCTCACTTCAGACCTCCCCTCTGACTTGGGTCAGATCGTCTGAAAATTGGGACTGGAGCAGGCCTTTGTGCCCATCCGGCGCTCGCCTCTCTTAGATCCTCTTTTTTTGGTCTTTGCCGCCCAGCATTCAGCAGGGGAGGACAAAAGGGGGGGCTGGGAATCAAGCATGTGCCACGCTCATAGTTTCCTCAGCAAAGCAGCCCCTGCCCCCGGCCAGCCTTCCTCCCTGGGGCAGTCATCTGATCATCTTCCTCTTGCAGAGTCTGGTCTCTGTAGATCCTTTTTGCCTCAGGCTGGGTTGTGGCCCTGCGCTCACCCCTTTCCGTGGAGACCCTGGTGCAGTCCGCCCTGAAAAAGAACTTCTGGGCCCTGTCAGCCCTCGGACGCAAACACACATCCTGGCAGTTGATCTCTCATCAGCAGGTTATCCACCCATGCAGCCAACATGTATGGAGTCCCTACTATATGACAAGGCTTGTGGCAGACCCTGGAGATACAGCTGTGAAGGACAGAGGGAATCCCTGCCTCCTTGGGGGGCAAACACGCATACAGATGTGTTCAGGAAGCTCCGCCCCAGGCTGCTTTCACGCTATTACTGAGCTCTCTGCTGCACTCCTGCCTTGCCTTCTGTCTGACATGTTTAGGGGTCTAGAGGTTCAAGGGATTCCCTGCAGGGCTCAGGGTCACCCAGTTCTGCCAGGATGTCCGGAGGCAGTGTCCCGTGGGTCCTGGCCCCAGAGGCTTTCCCTGACCCCTAAGATGGTCCCCTGCCACTCTCCACACCCTGGCAGGTTTTATTTCCTTCATAGCACCTGACAGCAGAGGCCTTGTTCACTCTTTTATTCCTAGCACCTAGAACAGTGTTGTAGGTGTTCAGTGTACACTGTCAGTTGAATGAGTGAGTGACTACTTCATGGAGTTATGAGAATTAAATGAGCTCCATAAAAGACCTTGGTCACAGTCTGGCAAAGAATAACAATGGTGCGGTGGCCTGGAATCCCAGGGTCTGGGAGAAGTCGTCTTGTCCTGCCTTCTTCCTGCAGGCAGGGTTGCCTGGGGACCTGGCACTTGGGGAAGGGGATTGCCTGGGCCCTGGTCTTAGATTCCTAGGTGGTCTGGACCTGATCCTAGCCCTTCTTTCCCTAGTCGGGCCCCACCCTGGACATGCCAGTTCCCTCCAGCTTCAATGACGTCGGCCAGGATGGGCGGCTGCGTAGCTTTGTTGGCTGGGTGTGGTATGAACGGGAGGTGACCCTGCCCCAGCGATGGACCCAGGACCTGGGCACGAGAGTGGTGCTGAGGATTGGCAGCGCCCACTACTACGCCATTGTGGTCAGTGCAGCAAGAAGCAGGCAGGGCGAGTGGGCAGGTGCAGCTGCTGAGCATGCATGTGGCTGCCTTGGGGTGCCTGGTTCCCAGCTGTCACCTGACAGCGTGCTTCCTGGGGTGGATGGTGGAGTGTGCTCATGCCCTATACTGGAATCTGTGCCCTGGGTTGGGGTGGGTTGCCTAGTCTGCTACTTTGGCGCTCCATTTCTCCATTCCTGAGGAAGGTGTCAGCTAGCAGGGCCCTCAGCCCCCACATACTGCACTTCTGTTTGAGGGAGTGCCTGAGACGGCAGGGACCCCTCCTCATGCTCTGCCTGCTGCTCCTCCCCGTATCTCCTTGTGTCTGCAGTGGGTGAATGGGGTCCATGTGGCAGAGCACGAGGGGGGCCATCTCCCCTTCGAGGCTGACGTCAGCAAGCTGGTCCAGAGTGGGCCCCTGTCCTCCTGCCGCATTACCATCGCCATCAACAACACGCTCACCCCCCACACCCTGCCGCCAGGGACCATCCTCTACCAGAAGGACACCTCCAAGTGAGCAGCACCCTGCTCCCTCCTCTCCCCGCTTCCCACCCTGCCCAGTGGTCTTCCCACTAGGGGCAGGTGGCCTTAGCAGAGGTGAGGTTGAAGGCCCCAGAGTAAGGCCCCAGTTGGCCACTGTCCTCCCACCCTAGGTACCCCAAGGGTTACTTTGTCCAGAACACACACTTTGACTTCTTCAACTACGCGGGACTGCATCGGCCTGTGCTCCTCTACACCACACCCACCATCTACATTGATGACATCACCATCACCACTGGCATGGACCAAAACACTGGTGAGGGCTCCTGGCAGGATCTGCCTCAGCCAGGCCCAAAGTGGCTCTGTTCCCTGTTTGGAAAGATCCCCCAGGAGAAGGGCTCTCCCAGCGTCTCTTAATCCTCACAGGTTCCCATCCACCTAAGAAGCTAAAATCCAGCCTGTCTGCACTGGCAAGGGCTTCAGAAATACCCATGTGGTCTGATCTCATTTTGTGAGGAAATAAGGCCCAGTGAGAAGTGGGGCTTGCCTAAAATCACATAGTTCAGGATGAATAGCTCAGGGTTCCTGGAAATCCTATGTCTTGTCCCCATTGTATCACCCTCATTTAATCTCTCCTCACTGCAGATTGAGCTCAAGAAATAACTGGTGGTTGGCTGGAGTCTAAAGGTCCAAGCGGATTCCTCAGGGTAGTGGCTGCAGCCTGCTCTCTTCTCTGTGACCCAGGTCGCATCTCTCCCTCTTCTCTCTTGTCTGATCTCTCTTGTCTCTTGCAGGGCTGGTGAATTACAAGGTTTTTGTCCAGGGCAGTGAACATTTCCAGCTGGAAGTGCGTCTTCTGGATGAGGAAGGCAAAGTCGTGGCCCAGGGGACGGGGGACCAGGGCCAGCTCCAGGTGCCCAGCGCCTACCTCTGGTGGCCATACCTGATGCATGAGCACCCTGCCTACCTATACTCATTGGAGGTAATGGTGGTTAGGACTGGGGTTATGGGAGGCCTTTTGCCCCATTCAGCAGTCCTGCCTGCCTTCAGCAGGGGTCCAGGACAGGTGGACAGGTAGACATGGTCCTCTGAGCTTCCGAGTCAATTGGATTGAAGTGTTCCCAGCCTGACTTTTTTCAGCCTTGGTAGGGAAATCCAGTTTTGAAGAACAGACCCCAGGGGCAGAGTGGGCAAAGATTCCTCCTTGCTATTGGCAGAAGCCTGTAATTTCTGCATCCCTCTGCTTACAGTCCTAAAGGCGGGCCGCTGTGGTTTGTGAGGGCCTTCCTGCTGAAGGGCAGGCTCTGTGGGGCTCAGGCCATCAAGGAAGCCTCATGCACAGTGCTTGGCTTTCACAGGTGAGGCTCACTGCACAGACAGAAGCTGGGCCCGTGTCTGACTTCTACGCTCTCCCTGTGGGGATTCGCACTGTGGCTGTCACGGAGAACCAGTTCCTTATCAATGGCAAACCTTTTTATTTCCATGGGGTCAACAAGCATGAAGACGCTGACGTGAGTCGAGAATCCTGGGTCCCTGTGGGGGCTGGTTCTCATCTTTACCTTCCACATGCCCCCTGAAGTGGTTCAGGGCAGCTCAGAGCAGTTAAGCAAACTGCTCAAAACTGCTGCCCGATAGAGCCAGTGCTTGGGCTGGATAGAGGGGGAATGGCGTGACTCCTGAGGGCCCAGCTCTAGAAAGAAGTGCGTCTTGGACAGGGACAGAGGACATGGGGTCACTCTGCTCTGCTGTCCCCTAGATCCGAGGGAAGGGCTTTGACTGGCCACTGCTGGTGAAGGACTTCAACCTGCTTCGTTGGCTTGGTGCCAACTCCTTCCGCACCAGCCACTACCCCTATGCAGAGGAGGTGATGCAGCTCTGTGACCGCTATGGGATTGTGGTCATTGACGAGAGTCCAGGCGTGGGCATCGTGCTGACGTGAGTGCCCACCTCCCACGCCGCTTAGCCTGCCCAACTTGGCCAGCGATGACACCTCCCTTTCCTCTCCCTGCCCCGCAGGCAGAGCTACAGCAACGTGTCTCTGCAGCACCACCTGGAGGTGATGGAGGAGCTGGTGCGCAGGGACAAGAATCACCCAGCTGTCGTGATGTGGTCTGTGGCCAATGAGCCTGCTTCCTACCTGAAACCTGCTGGTTACTACTTCAAGTGAGTACCCCCGCCGGCCCCAGGCTGGGCCAAGGATGAGACCTCAGCCCTTTGACCAGTCAGCCTTGGCTGGCAGCCATGGGAGAGCTGAGGTCAACCTTGGGACGGGCATGTGCTGTGAGAGAGTCAACATCTGCTCTCAGCCCAGACTTGAGGGTGCATCTATACCTGGTCACTTCAGGGGACCAAACACCTACCCACCCAAATTGTGATTTCAACTCCATGAGAGCCAGTGTCCCCTTTTCATACCTGAAATGAAATCCAGAGTTAACCTACCCTACTTATACACATAACTTCAAGTTAAAAAAGAAAATAATGTCATGTCCTAACTGTGGTATAAGGGACAGTCATTTATCAAATAATACTTGAATGCATGGGCCTGACTCCCCAGAAGATGCAGTGAAGGGCAAACACTTACACCTCAGTGTGGAATCCCCTGCACACAGCTACAGAGCTGACTGCAGGCCACCATGGTGGTGACTCTGACACCACAGGCGGCACTTTCTTTGTGGTAAAGTTCCAAACAAAACCGAGTATAATCTTCCCTCACTTTTTATGGTATCTCTATTCCTGGGAAATTTAGTGTATGTTAAAATTCCAAAAAACACTTTGTGATGCTTTGGGCTCATCTGTGAAGGAGTTAGGCTTTATAAAACCAGCTTATCTAGGCATATAATTGTAAACAGGTTTTTCAATAACATGCATATTCCAGGTATTCTAAAGTCACATTGTTGACAGGACGAGGCCATCCAAAGTTCATGGTCCTGTTCTTGAAATGCCAATAACTCCTCCCTCTCTGCCCCACCTCCCCACCCCCCCTTGCAATGGACAGAAACACCAGTTGGGGGCAGTCTTCCCATAGTGGGAGGGTTTACTCTCTGAGGGAGGCTGCCCCCCCCACCACGCCCCCTGGTGTTTCTGTGGTTCTTTCTCTTACAGTCGCACAGTTGTAGCTTAGCCTGCAAAGAGGAACTACTATTTCACTTGCTGCAGAGGCAGCAGAGGCCGTTGGAACACTTTCTGAGGCCGACGGTGCATCCCTGTTTCACGGAGTGCTTGGAGCTGAGCCCTGTCTGTAGAGGAGGGAAGGCTCTGAGGAGGGGACCCATCTGGGCAAAAGACAGCTCCCAGTGCGTGGGGTGCAGGATGTGTGGAGCCAGGGCTGGGGGGCAGAATTTTTGTTGTGAGGATGAAAGGAGTATTTAGAGGCTCTTAGGAATGGGTGCCTGAGGCTCCAGATGGGCTTTTTTGGGAGGTGGACAGAGGGATATGCATGATTTTTGCAGCAGCAGGGATGGGGGCAACGTATGGAGAGAGCTGCCCGGGCCAAGGAGCTCAGCTAGGCTTTGAAACTTCCCACTTGACAAACAGGCTGTTTCAGAGTGTGGGTTTGGGACTCGAGGGTAAGGGGTACTGTTCAGGCCTGCAGAACCCACAGCCTTCAACTGAGAAGAGCAATGGTGAGAGGGTGTAAAGGAAAGAAAACTAGCTGTGAGGAAAGAGAAGAGAAATATAGGCTTAAACAGTGAATGAGGGTGACCTGCACAAGCGAGGTCTCTGACAGGTGCGTGGGCCAAGCCTGACCGCAGGCTCATCCCTGTTCCTGCCATCCCTCCTTGGTTAATGTGATTCAGCATAAACGCTGTTTCTTCAGCGAGGCTGTCACTCACTCTCCAGTCTCAATTATGTGCCCTGTTATTGTCTCATAGAACCCTAATTCTTGCTACCACTCGTAATTGCAACTTGTAATGTGTATGTGTGCGAGTGTCTCTGCTCCCACTGCTCCATGAAGCTATGGATGTGGCTGTGAGTACCCAGCACACAGCCTGCCTCTTAGCACACATTCTCTAATTATTTGTTAAATTAGTATCCATCCTAATCCACACCCCATCCATTCTGATTTTCAAGAGCTTTTTCAAAGATTCAGAACCTAGTTTTTGGCAGTGGCCAGCCCAAGGACCTCAGCTCTGCATGCCTGCTTGTTTCTGTAAGGATGGCCTCTACTCTGAGGGGTAGGGTTTGGGGAGGGAGAAAGAATGATGTCAGGGAACATGATCTAAGACTAGAGGAACATGTTTGCTTACCTGAAAAACACTTCAAGGTAGGGAGGAGAGCAGTTGTTTTGTTTTTTGCTTTGGCTGGGGAAGATGGGAGGGAGAAGATGAGAGGTGGGTGTCTGAGAGCCCTTCCTGGATTGATGGAGCCCATGTCTTCTGCCCTCCGTGGACAGGACGCTGATCGCCCACACCAAAGACTTGGACCCTTCCCGGCCTGTGACCTTTGTGACCAACTCCAACTATGAAGCAGACCTAGGGGTGAGACTGGGGTCTCCGCACCTCTTCTCTTCTCCTCTGCCTGTCTTCTGGTGCAGCCCTGATGCTTGCTCAAACGCACTGCAGGGAAGAACTGTGAGCAACCAGTCCTGCCATTTTCATAGATGATCTTTAGGTTAAAGATAACTACCTGCTTGTTCACCAGGCAGTGTGGGTCCTGCATCCAGGGGGCTGGGCACGGGGCGATTTAACCCGCTCTCAGTGCAGACTCCATGTTTTATGCACCTCAGTTTAATTTTGTTTAATCTCAATTTAATTTGCTCATAAAATGGCGACGGTTTAAGGGAGCTTGAAGTTGTCATTGTCCAGTGTTTCTCCCGTCTGGCTGATCGTCAGAGCCACTAATGAAACTGTTTGAAAGTCCAGATCTCTGGATTCTGAGACTCTGATTTAGTAAGTCCAGGGTGGGAACCCGACTTTTTAAAGAGCTGCTCGCTGATTCCAGTTATCAGCCGGCTTTGGGAACCACTGACTGGATCCAGCCCCTCAGACGGAGAATGGAAGGGACAGGCTCACACAGCCGCTAGACCACACGATCTCCCTCACCTCCCTGGGCATCAGAGCCCCTCAGAAACTGTGTTCATTTGCACTGAAGCTGTAAAACATGGGGGCAAGAAAATGCTTCTTCACTAGAGAACTGAAGGCCGGTACTTAAGAGGAAAGTGCTCCAGAAAGAGACATCACCTAAAGAAAGAATGAATGAGAAGATGCTATATACAAATCTAAATTGTCAACACTGTCATTTTAACATGGTTGTTAAAAGGTTTGCAACCTTAGTGTTCCTTTGTCATCTCTCAAGAAGACCTCTTCCAAGAAGCGTAAAGACTGTGGTAAAGCACCAGCATGCACAGCACAGGCAGCCCTGGGCGTTCCGGAGCTGCGTGGCAGCTCTTCCTGTTCTCATCTCTCACATGGGTGGGGAGCCTGTGCCTGGCGTGTTCTGACGGTTGCCAGACTCATCTGGTGGGGTGTATGATCCGTGTCGATGTGTCCACCCGAAGGTCCCTCCCCCAGCTTTCTCCTCCTCCTGCATCTCTCCACTGCAGTCTGGAAAGGGGCTGCAGTCACTTGGGAAGATGGACTGCCTCAGTCCCAGTGCAGACTTTGGAGATGTGCATGTGTTCAGGTGACATTAGAGACTAGATAGTTGGGCTCGCGTGCTTTTGCTGCTCAGTCCTGAGTTCACTGTTTACAAGCGAGACAGTCCCACCCCGTCATTTCAGCCTCCTTCCCAGGAGGGAATTTTCCGGCCACTTTGTGGCCCACAGCACTAGCTCACGTATGGCATGATGAATCGAGATTGTTTATGAGCAGAAAAACTGCATCTGTCCCTCAGTTGGGAGCATTTCTCCAGGGCCAGCTTGAAGGAAGACCAGGGAGGGGACTACCACCTAGAGAGGAGCAAAATCCAGTGGGATGGGCCCTGGGCTTCCACTGAGGGCAGCTTGCCGAGTGCGTCTTCTGCCTCTCATGGCCCTCACCAGAGCAGCCAGGTCAGCAGCGTCAGCCCAGAATTAGAGACTTGCTCCATTCCAGTCACTTCCTGAATGTATTTCCTCCACCTGTGAGCATCTAAATAATTTTCTGCATCCCCTTCTTACCTTCTGTGCCAGAAGAGTCCCCTGAGTGTGAGAGTCCTAACGCTATTATCCAGTCTTCTGGTTTGTGAACAAACTTTAATGCTCCTGTCCTAGGCGCCATATGTGGATGTCATCTGTGTGAATAGTTACTACTCCTGGTATCATGACTACGGGCATATGGAAGTGATTCAGCTACAGCTGGCAACCCAGTTTGAGAAGTGGTATAGGACTTATCAGAAGCCAATTATTCAGAGCGAGTATGGAGCAGAAACCATTGCAGGGTTTCACCAGGTAAGTAGTATAGAACATGCTGTTTATTTTTTCGCTCTCTTAGACAGTGATGTCACTCATTGCTCCAGGCTGGAAGTGTGCCTCCTTCCCTGTCCCTCGCGTGTACTGATCATCTCCGTGCAGTTCTTCATGCTCAGGCCAGCCTGCTCCTCTCCACTCACAGCAGCCAAGGACTCAGGCCTCTGCCTCACTTGCTTGGTGCTCAGCCTCCTTATTGGCTTTGTTTCCAGACAGTCCCCTCCTGGATGCCCAAGTGGTCTTGCTAGCTAGTCCTGTCATTGGCTCCATCCTGTGGTCTAGGGGATGGAGCCTGGCCCACAGGATGAAGCCCTCATCCCTGGTCAGGGCAGTCAGGTACTTTGCTGTCTGCCCTCTCCCAGGGCTTCTTCCTCCTCTGTGTCCACTCTTAGACCCTGGACTCCTTTTCACTGTGCTCAGTGGCTCCTGCTCTGGCGTAGAGTATTCCTTCTGCCTGGAATGCCCACGTTAGCACCACAATTGCCAACTAAGGGATTCTTATTCAGTGCTCAAGTCTCAGCTTAGCTGTCCCCTTTGGTGAGGTTTGCCCCCCGTGCCCCAGGCAGAGTAAACCGTTCCCTCTCCTCAGTCTCTGTCTCAGCATTTCTGACTATGTGCTGTCATTACAGCCATGAGTTGCATAAAGACAGGGATCAGTTCTGAGGAATGCATTGTTAAGCTGTTTCATCCTTATGCGAACATCACAGAGTGCACTTACACAAACCCGGATGGTATGGCCTACTGCCCACCTAGGCTGTATGGTACTAATCTTACGAGGCCACTGGTGTATATGCGCTTGTCGACCGAAATGGCATTATGCAGTGCCTGGCTTGTTTCTTTGGCTCTCTCCTTGACCACACTATGGGCTACAGGAGGGAGACCATTTATTGTTGCTTCCCAAGCACTCAGCAGTGTCCGGCACACAGCAGGTACCAAATGATTTGTTGAGGGAATGAGTAAAATCTTGGAGCAGGTTTTAATCAATTTTTCTCATTCTTTTCTCCACTTCCTCACCAAAGATATGTTGCTTTGTCTTGTGGGAGTTTTTTTCAGGCCAGCCCCTCATCCCCACCCCAGCCACCTCACACTCATCAGTCACAACTACTGGGATTCCTTGTTGACGCACATTTCTTAATTTGCTTATCCTCAGTATGTTGAACAGCTCTCCACAATGGACTATATTATTCTGTTTACGCCCTTAAATTCATCTTGCTTACACAGAATGCCACTTCTACAAACTGGTAATGTATGGGGAAATACCTTATAAAGACAAAGTATGTGCATATTTGTTCTCCCTCTTTGAAAAGGTAACCAATTCTGAATTTTTAACTCTGAGTCTAGGTCAGGACTGTCTGGTAGAACCTTTTGCAGTGATGATGATGTTGTAAATCTGCATTGTCCAAAAGGGTGGCCACTAGCCACACATGGCTATTGAGGACTTGAAGTGTGACTAGTATCACTGAGTTGAGTTAGTTTAATTTAGTTTTAAGTTTAAATAGCCACACGTGGCTAGCATGAGACAATACAGGGTCATTTCCATTAAAACAAAGTAAGAAAATCTACATCTTGCCTTCTCCTCATGTTCAACTTTGGATCGTACAGTTATATTTTCAGTGTATTCTATATAGCATTTCAATCCTTCTTCTTGGAGAGGAAAGCCCAAGCCAGCAGGGTTCTGTTCTCGCATAAAATGACTGAAATGCTGCGTCCTTGAGCATGTAAGACTCGAGCCCCCACAAAATTCCCATGAGATGAAAACTCAGACTTTATGAGCCAACATCTAGATCATTCTTAATCCACAACACATGGGAGCTCTTAACCGAATACTGAGTGAGTGCATAGATGGGGCCTGCTTTTGTCACGGATGGCCTTCTCCTGCCCTGGCAGGTCTCAGCGTGCGTATTTCCTCAGGGAGCTCTGTGGCCCCCGTCTCAGTCAGCTCCCCCTGTTCCACATCCCCCCAGCTCCTGGTTTTCATGCTCCCTGTTCACCCTCATCACACCTCTGCCTTGTGTCCTTGCTAGATTGTAAAGCCTCTGAGGGCAGGGACACTTAACTTTCTTGTTTATCGCTTAATCTGCAATGCCTACCATGTAAGCAGATAGTAAATAATTATTTGTTGAACAGATGAATGTGCTAAACCACAGCTACTTACCCAGACCAGATACAGACAGATCTGAGGGGAGTTAAATCTGAGTCACACTAGTTCTCAAATTATGCACCTGCAGCTACTTAAAACTTGTTTTAAATTATTATTCAAAGACATAGTTCTACTTCCAGTGTAGTTCAGCTTTAAGACTGCACTGGTGAACAGAGATGGGAAAGTAAGATAAAGCAAATATCAAATTCGGTTTATAAATAAAGTAGTTACCAATTAAAGTTTTTGAAAAAATCTCTTCTTTTTTACCCTGGGCTAGGTCATAGCCTAGCTGTGTCTCTATACCTGCTCCAGTGAGGCCTGCAGTCACCACAGCCCACCATGGGGACAGATATTTTGGTCATCATCATGTGGATCTCTATTTTTATCTAACATTTACAATTCTGCCAGTTCTGACTCTTAACTTCTGTCTCTGCCTTGAATTCCAGGACCCACCTCTGATGTTCAGTGAAGAGTACCAGAAAGGTCTGCTGGAACAGTATCATTTGGTTCTAGATCAAAAACGCAAAGAATATGTGGTTGGAGAGCTCATCTGGAACTTTGCTGATTTTATGACTGACCAGTGTAAGTGGCCGTTTGGTTTATGGAATGTACCATTTCTGATTTTCTTAGGTTGGCCTTTCAGTTCAGGACATTTGGTTATAAGAACACTGGAAACAAGAGGGAGAAAGCTAATCTAATCTATGTAGGCTACATAGGGAATTTCCTAGGAAAATTAAGTTGTGTTTAGCAAGCAGCAATCACTTGCCTGCTTCTCCAGTCACTTTATGGTAAAAAAGCAAATGGGAGAGCCTCCTATCTCGAGGCAAAAATGGCTAACTTGCCTTTGTCTGTTTCACAACGGCATAAGGAAAAAGTAGACCTCGTATTGAATTTAATTGTGAGATACACTCATTATTCCAGAGTAGGGTACAAAGCCCAAGAAACTCAAGATATTTTGGTCTGTTTTATATTATTCACTTGTAAAAGGCAGGTTCACTGAATCCAGGTAAGTTTCAAAGCATTTTGAATGGGGAGTGTGTAAGTCTTCAAAGAGAATACGACCTGTGCTCTTTCTCCAGAGGGGATAGATGAGGGCTACCTCACGTAAGTTCCAAATGAGTGTTCCCCATTTCCTTCTACACCTCAGGTTACTAGTATCTTAATATACCATAAACTTAGGATAGCAATTTGGGGAGGTGGGAAGGATTTGGTAGTAGTGAGAATTAAACTACTTATGGGACAAGGCAGATCTTTGGAAGGTTAAAGTTGAATTAAAAATTAGCATAGAAAGAGGTAATGAGAAAAAATAAGAACACAAGCCTCTACTCTGCTTGGCAAATGAGATTAATGGCTTCTGGAAGTATCCTGGATGGCAATCTAGTTTTGTGAATAAGTGCACCGGCTCTGTGTAGTAAGAAGTTAGCTTTAGCCATGTGACCTTGGGCAACTTACCTACCCTTTAACAGGCCTGTAAAGTGGGGATAGAGCTAACACCTGGCAGGTTGATGGAGGGATTCCATTTGACGAAGTGCTTGGCACTGTGCCTGGCATTTGCTTATCGTGGAGGAAATTATTATTGCCTTGAACTTCTCAGTGAGAAGGACCTCCTTTCCATTTAACAAGCTGTGGTTTCATAGCGGGTAGACAGAGTTTGTTGAGGGCGGAGCCCTGACTTCCTGGCTTCCTTCCTGGCTTCAGCTCTGGCAGACCAAGCACCAGCAGTGTGGACCCACCGGAAGTCTGCCCAGGAGGACTTTGAAATCTAGTAGATCCCACCTAGGCACCTTTGACTTGTCAGGACTCTGGCTCCCACCAGGAGAGTTGTCTCTTCAGAAAGACCCAAGCCTTTCCAAGGGTAACACTGTTTTGGTTCCACTCCAGTTACCAGGGAGCTGGTACCCATGTTTTAAACCTTATTTTGCAAGGTAACAATTTTGGATTTTTTTCCCCTAACAGACATAAAATTAACACACCAGAGAGCTGAGGTATTTTGGGGGAGCAGTAGTATTTAAATCTTTAACCCACTAAGTGGCCACTTCAGACAAAGCAACCCTAAACTATAAGAGGACATTTCTATTTAGTGCTGCCCAGCTTGGCTCCAGGTTGTTTGCGATTTGGCCCATCAGAAGTCATCTGAAACACCTTTTACCTTGTTTTTAGCACCGCAGAGAGCAATGGGGAATAAAAAGGGGATCTTCACTCGTCAGAGACAACCAAAAGGTGCAGCATTCCTTTTGCGAGAGAGATACTGGAAACTTGCCAATGAAACCAGGTACCACGGGTCAGCTGTGAAGTCACAGTGTGTGGGAAACAGCCCGTTTACTTTTTAAACCAAGAACTACCTCTCTACTGAAACTGGTTCTGTCAGCCCCTCCTCCCCAAGTAGGGGGCGACTTCCACAGCAAACAGAGCAGTGCTTCCTGGACTGTGCATGGCAGACTGAAAAGTCTGGATTTTGTAGTAATCTGCTAGAAGGGAACATAAGAGGTGAAAATAAAGGCTTTTGTAGTATGTGAATAAAGAGTTGGCTTAAAAGTGACCATCTGTAAATCTATTGCTGCAAAGCATCTGAAATTATTTTTATGTGTCAAGCTGTTTTCATAGCATTAACTGAGGATAGATTCTCGAGAGACTCCTGCTTCAGCACTCACACCACATTCAAAGAGGCTGGTTACAGACTGTGTGCTTCCACAGAACAGCCCCATAGCCTTAGGGCCACCCGTGATCGCGTACCGAACCAGGCCAGCCTTGAGAGTAAAAGACAACTACTGTGAAACTCCGCAGATGAGTTCAAGTCCCAGCAAATTTAGAGAAAGTGTTATCATGCTGGAATAATGAAAAAGGTCTATGGATCAGTTTGCACATAGTTAAGCTGACAAATAGGCATAATCAAGGTAAAAGCTGAAGAACGTCTGCATCAGAAGGGAGCTCAGAGGGTAGCAGTTGTCCCAGGACATGGTTCCAACCTCACCATTGTCTAGTTTTGACAGAAATGGAAAGATGGGCATAAAAACCTGTTGGCTCCATCACAAGTGACTCCACTGAACGTGACGAGATCTCTTTAAACAGACTAGGCCTGCAGACAAGTACTCCAGGCCTTCGTACCTCTGGGTGACCCCCACCTACCCTGATCACAGACAGTGAATCTTTCCTCCTCTTCTTCCACAGGCTCCAGTAAGGCAAGTAAGGTACATTATTCCTAAGATTTCAGTGTTCCTCAATCCTGGTTTAAAGCTGAATGCTTTGGAAAAATACTCCTTTTGGTGTACAATCAAATGGAAGACCATAAACCAATGCAGGTCTTAATACAGAAATGGTTTCACGTCACTTGTTGATTCCACATGTCTCAACACACAGCCTTTTTTACCTTCTTTTCCAAGCTCCATGAAAGAAACAGTAAAGATAATTTAACCTCGTTTCAGTGGCCATCTTGAGAGCATTTTTAAGAAATGGAAGTGTAGTCAGTTCAACTAAGTTAGGAATTCTAGGGGCTACATATTCTGTTACCACTGAACTTCTCTTAAGTTCCTTGATCGAATCAAGTTTTGTGTTACAGTTTATTGTCAAGGAGTAATATATAAAATTCTTCACTTGACAAACACTTTTTAAAAATTAAGCATAATGGATACACTTAAATGTTTTACAAATTAGGGTAAGGTCTATTTCTTAAGTCCTAAGGTTCTAGCACAGAACACATTTATTCAGTAAAATATGGCTAAACTGTATTTCAAATGGATTCATCTTTCTTGCAGATGTTCCTTTTTTAGAAGACTTTAAGAGTATTCAAGGTGAGCTAAAGCAGTGATTCCTACATTCTATGTGCTCACAGAACTGTAAGCAGTAACACCTTTTTCATTAATTCTTGACAAACGCATACATCCTAAATCCACAGGAATTCCAAGAACGAGAATCTCTAAGAACTCTGCTTGTGTCTTCTATAAATTACATATAATTTACGAGAAAAAGAATCAACTCAGTACACCAGTAGAAATTAGATTATGGTATCAACTTTAAGAATAGTTTATAAGAAGACTGAATTCATTTCAGCTGCTTTTTGAAATGTACTACTGCAACGTGAGAATAATGGCAGCACAACTTCCACAGGTAACTTCTACATTTATTTTATACCAAAAAAGTTATGTGCAACAAATAAACATTCTTACATATTTACATTTGTTTTTACCAGTTAGCAAAACTTTGTCCTAAATCTCTGATAAAGAATATCTATATTAAAGGGGAAATGTGCCCAGTGAACTCCATTTTAAATGAATGTTTACTGTGGAGCTTAAAGCACTAGTAATAAATAATTTTGATGGAACACACTATACAGATGATAAACCTAATACTTAGGCCATGCTTAATACAGTTTTATAACAAAACACTTTACTTTTTCTGGGCTAATTTGTAAAAAAAAAATGTTTAACCAAGTAGTCTGGACTCCCACCCTTGCCCCCTTTTCTTTTATTGAAGGGTAGTTCTCACAAATTAGGAATCATAGGTGCTGCCTAAAATGTCTGAACGGAAATGTTCACCAATGCTTGCATGTTGGGGGAAAATACACGAGGCCAAAGGTGACACTAGATACTCCTTCTCAAATAGGTTACCAAAAGTGATAGGTTTTCTTGTTGGCATTTATCTAATACTGATTTTCAAGACCAAATCATTATTCTCTGGTGTCAAGCAGTGGCACCGATCTACGTTATGAAGTAATTGCTGAAGATCTTTGCACTTTTGCTGATAGTCTTAAAAATAAATATAAATGAAATACAAGCAAACTAAAGCTAACAAATAGTTTTAATTTCACTGTAGTCTTGGTCCTATATCCTTCCTAGTAGGTCCAAAGATCTCTGCTACCAAATGACAGATCTTTGTCTCTTTGTATGAAAATAGTCAACGCTTTCAACATCTTTAAAAGTAATGGATTTAAGGAGAGGCTACATACATCAAGTAAAAGTAATTCCTGGCACACAGCTTGTTAAACCTGAGTTATTTCACCAGAGGTTTACCCTCACTGACAGCACTAGCTGTGATGAAAAACCAAATGAAATCCTCCAAACCATCTAGATTCCCTAGAATTCATCATCTAACCACAACTCTTATTTCTTCAAATGATATGACTATCAAGTAAATAAGAGGCTTTATTTGTTGTAAATCATTTTGAAAACCAAGAAGCAGGGAATTACTGCCAAAAACAGAAATTCAATTTCTTCCCTAATCTGTTCTTCAACGTTGGTGGCGAGTAATGTTGCAATGTTTAAATATTCAGTCTAAAATAGTCATAACAATCCTCAAATTTTATAAGACAGTGTTTCCCCCCTCTTCTGGGGTGGAATAGAGGATGTAGAGGGGAGCCTAAATTCTCCCAGGGCAAAAACACCAAATAACACCCACCAGGGTTCTGTTGCTTACTGAGAGGCTGGCACACTACAGTGCTGTTACTTCAGGCAGCACACGTTCATCACTCAGTGAGAAAACGGATATTAATTCTACTGGGATCACAGGAATGTGGCAAAAAATTTTGTACAACTGAAACAGTGGTGTTTTCCCCAAGGCTTAGGAAAGCAAACGAAAAACTTGAAGGGTCTGGCTGAGCATTTTTACGTTTTCTCATGTAAGAGTTGAAGACATTTGCAAGAATGCAACACCAAGACAAGCTTTAACTATACTCTGCTGATTGATACAAAATATGATGAAAGACCATTTTAAATTGGGACACGAGGAACTTGTTTAGCACAACCAGTGTTGTGTATACTACATAAGTCTTAACTTAAGCCATTTCTATTCTAGCTGAGAAAAAAGAACCAGTAAACCGCTCGGTAGAAGTGGAAGCACTGCCACAAGATGCTCTCGTTGTACACTTCTTCAACATTAGGACTTGTTTCTCCATCAGCACCAGACATCCAATCAATGCTTTCTATTCTTTTAACTTCAGAAACAAGAACAATACATACATAATAATACAGGCATTGAAATATTCACATTCATGGGAAAACATAAACCTTGGTGAAGTCTGAATTAAGCTATCTTTTACAAAACTGGTTAACACTGGTTAAGAGTTCATTACAATTCAGATTTTACACTTGCCTCGGGCGTCAATTATGACAGTTAGTTGGAAACTGCTGAACAGTCGCTGACGGTGCGCCTTACGGCTTACAGAGCAGAACCTGTCCCTTACCTTCACAAAGAAGGCAAATAAAGCACTCAAAAGGTACCGGTCTGCTTTCAACAGACTGATTAATCCAAGTGGAAGCAAACACTGCTACCACTTCTCAATCTAGGGAATAAAATGGCCATACAGAACCTTTCCGATAGAATGTAAGTTTCTACTTCAGGGTAAGAAAGGAAGGAAGGACACTTCTGCCCAAGTTCAACACACAAAATATTTGGTTTGCGATTTAAGACAGAAGGCACTTTTAACATTCTGATATAAGATGGTGACCAAAGAAACATACTGTCACAATTTCATTTCAGTTTATTCAAACCACTTTTAAAAATTCTGCATTTGTGCAGTTATTAGAAAGAGGAGTGATGCCATTACTGTATTTCACGTTCAGATATTTCCACCTATAGTACTCCTCCTGATGAAGCAAACTGAGCAGTGTGTCAGCCCTAAAGTTTACAAATCCAATATGTGACTCAAACAATTAAACTAGACATCCGATTAGTTAGTGCAGAAAGAAACAGGGAAAACACTATGGAGCTACCCAAGAGCATCCTACTCTGGAGTGACTGGGCGTACACTGGGTATTGGAAAGTCATAATACTGTTGGGTTGACTGGCACCAATGTTTAAGGAAAAATATCTGCGTGAAAATTCAACTGTTGTAGGAGACTTTACCTAAAAACACCATATTAATATTTCCAGCTTTTGTCCAAAGAAATCTACCCTTTTCCCATCTTTAGTGTCCTGAAGGCCTTGGACTTGAAGGTCTGTTCACATGACTCATTCTGTAAGGTTCTAATTGATCCAATTTTATGACTAGACACAAGCTTGACTTGAATGTCCAAACTTAGTTTCTTCCTTTCAGAGGAAGGAGATGAAAGGGAACCAACCATCCTATTACTTTTGCCTTCAATGCTGGACCCACAGCTGTCAGTACTTTTCACAAGATGCTCTGTATGGAGTCACTATTTTCACTATTTCTTCAGTCAGTGTTGAGCTGACAGTTCTTCAAGGCTACACTTCAGCTAATCTATACAGTAAGTTCTGCAGGGATGGGTCCAATATGTCTACCTTTATTTACAAATATCACATAAACAGATTCTAGTTGAGTCTATATGTTTAAATCCATTGGCTAAAAACATATTACATAGTGTAAACATGGCAATATTTAATACAATATCTATTCTAAAATATTTTCATGTCATGATCACATTTGTTATACCTGAAATTGAATTTATACACATTAGAGAATTACTAGCAATGGTTGCTCACTTTACAATTGAGGGAAGGGGGCTAGGGCTACATTTTATTATTTCAGAAACATCTTCAAAGTAAAGTTAAAGCTTGTCTTTAATTGGCTCGGCATATCCTTTTTTTTGTAT